AGAGTTTGTGTAGAAAGTGACTCAGAACACAGCCTTGGGGGGGTTCCAGTATTGACGGTGAAGATGGGGGACATAGTGGTGCCCACCCTGACTGCCTGTCACTTGGGTATCTAACGGATGAGGAAAGTGTTACGTGAAGATGGTAGAGTTTGCTGATTATCAGATGTCGTTGAATGGTACACGATTAATTTGCATGTCAATAAATGTATTTTTTCAAACTGTTGTGTATGTCATATGGGTGGCACAGTGGTGTGGATAGATATGTCGCCTCACGGTTCGCACCTGCTGGCAGGCCCTTCTCTCTAGAGTTTGCACGTTTCCCCGTGTTTTCTCCGGCTTCAATGTCAAATGTCAAACTATTCCTTCAAGTTAAATCTCGAGGATCTCCGTTTGACTCTTTTTGACGGCAGCCATGGCAATAAGCGGCAATTGCAGATGTGTTTTTGGATCTCCCTTCCCAGAGACCCAAACACTGTTGGGGAATGTCACCCCAGTTAATAATACAAGGGCTTTCAGAAGTGGGCCATTCATTTATTAAACTGAAAATCTTTACATTAAACTAAATATTTCTGTTTCTAATACATCATATTCACTATAATGCTTGTGATTCAGATTGGTCCTATCATGCTGCAGTGTAGAGATAAAATTAGATGCAAAGTAATGTGTGATTCTGTCTCAAATTGTACTGCAACAGCACATATAGCCTCCAGTCTGTTCTGTTGTGGTTGTAGGTTGTATAAGATGAAGGCCTCCTGCTGCAGCCCTTATCGTTATTAATCAGGCCAGATTTAAAGGAGCCTCCAACCTCTCCACCAGCAGGGGCCGATCACAGCAGTCCTGAAAACGTGTGCCAGTTGTTGCATGCTTGTTAGCAGCACCTTACATGCGTCTGGTCTAGCTCCAGTGATTTAACTTGTGTGTTTTATTGTAGATATAAACTTATTAAATGCAACACAACTTTGTGGAATATTGGAATTGATTAGGAGAGTTGAATAAGGAGGGCAGGTGCAGCTTCCTCGATGGCTGCTCATCCTGTGCTGAGGCTGATTAATGAAGTGGCCACTGCTGTTGTATAACAGCTGCCATCTAATCATATTTATCTCCTGTAGCTTACTTGTTCTGGGCTCCTTGTCACAGGGAGCAATTGACTTGTTCCTTCCAGTGGGGATTTGTCATTGGAAAACAATTATCTTCTTATGCATCATGACAGCAACACAAAACTGTAGTGTCTGTTCTCTTGTTACAAGTTTTAGCTCTAAGGAAAATTCAGAATCTCTTGGCTGTCCACCAACTCTGTTGAATGACTCGAGAAAATATAGTGGTCAGTTTCAAATAAGAAGAAGACGGATTTCTATTTGTGTTTCTGACAATTTAACATTTCGGAGATGTCTTGGCAGAGACGTCCAATGCCCTTTTTTCATCACTCTTCTTTTGGTGCATGTTTACTATGTGTTAGCTCCTGTACCAATTATGAAAACAGATTTCGATCTCAGGAGACCATCCTGGTTAAATACAAGCTTCCTGCAGGTTGAGAATTGATTTGCAGGGCCCCGGACCTGAAATTTGACAAGGGAAGCGAACATCTCACTGGCTGTTTTTGCATTTAATATTTATAGCAAAATTAGGAATTCAATTTCATCATTACTGTCCACCGCCACACAGTAGTTGACTAAGAGATAGGGAGCCTGTTATTCAAAAGCTTTTATACAACTAATAAAAATTATCCCGTGATATGATACTATTTGTTAACAATGCTGCCCAATTTAAAAGACGTCTTCGATATTTGCTTGAGTGATCCCTCTTATATTCTGTTTTCCGATTGCAGCTCGTTTGAGTGTTAAGACCCCCGAAATAAGGAAACGAGTTCCGTTCTTGTCACTTGATGGAAGACATATTAGATTTCCAGAATGACAGTGAGACTGCACGGCACGATTTTGACAGTCAGCTTCGAGACAGCGAGCAGAACTACATAAAAGTTACTGTATAATAAGTGTGGCCACGACGTGCGTGTGCGTCGGTGTGAACCCTCGCTCTAACGCGTCGGTGTCGGAGAGCGCATCAGTCACACAGCATGGTGTAGGTGGACGAGAGCGAACACGGAAAAAAAAAACACATCTATATCAAGAGATCCCCAGCTATCAGCGGTGGAAACCTGAACAGGTGGCTCTCTCGGTGTCTTAGCAGAACGCGCCAAGACGCAGAGACCCTCGACAGCCTGTCTCGCTCGCTAATCGCCTCTCTGACGACAGCGCATTTGCCCCGTGCGCGTAAAACCAGGAGTACGGCAGGTTTGGGTCGGTGGATCTCGATCAGTCATCAGGATTGTACTTGTCAGTGTTTATTCAGTCCTCCTCACGAAGTTGTGAAGTGCGTCTTGGTTTCGAGGCTGGACTGACAGAGTTGGATGCACTGACTCTTTGTTGGATTTGATAAACTCTTCCGTGTTTGGATTGTTGCTGTAAAGACTGACACCGATAACACACAGCATGTTGCCAGAAATAAATAACAAGGTGAGGCATTTTTTTGTAAGCGACTTGGATGGCTGCTAAATAGCAGTTTCCTGTGTTTTTTTTTTATAGCGTGACTGTGGTACTCTGGTTCATATTGTGGTCGATTTGAAAGCAATGTATGGCCATTTAGAGTGTCCAAATTATCAGCAGCCATGCCATTATAAAACAAAAAATGGCATGGCTGCTGGCAGTGAAAGTTTTTATATTGCTATAACCATACTTTATCTTCCATGATATCACTTTAGTATTCCTCATAGTTAACTTACAGATTTCCTATTTTTGCTTTTCCATGGAATAAGAATTTATTTTGCCCAGATACAGGGCTTCGCTCCAGGCTAATTCCATTTTGGGAGAAACCCTCCGCAGGTATCCTTTTACAATGATCAACTAAAATAAAAGTCAACCATTCACTGTACATTCTCTAATTACCTTTATCCATACATGCCAAGAATGTGAAGTGATTCTCAATTTGGAATTATTTGCATTTCTCCTCTATAAAATATCCCACTTGATTACTTATGCTGTATTCCGCCCCCTTTCTCCAGACCACATGCCAAGTTGTGATGAAAAATCTGATCCATTTCTATTTCAGTCTTTGTTTAGCCTACTTATTTCAGTGTTTGTGGTGCTGACAGAATTCTATATGAGTTCTGGTATATTTGACACACCTTACATGGAAAATGTTGCAAATTTAAACCTTGCCATTTTGGGCTTTTTTTATTGTTTTTAGTCACAAAAGTTAGATATGATGTAATTTTTGCATTGACAAACTAATCATCCTCAAGCCTAGTCTTAATTTTGTGGTCACATTTGATGCCAACAGGAAACAGCCTGTTGTGTGCAATCAACACAACAGGGCAGTGTGATTATACATTGAAAAAAATACATGCTGTCTGACAGCTGATAGTGTGAGTGGGCACAGTTTCACAACTTGTTGATGTTACTCCTGGTTTTATTGCTTTGCTGACCCTCTGACCCTTGAGGACCCAAAGCTGCCCTCACACCCCTACTGGGATGATCTTAGCTCCAGTTAAGACCCCCGAGTCACACAGAGCAGAGTCGGCATTGCTCCTGACATCTGTTTCTGTGTCTTCGCCTCCATCTATCTATTCATGTAACTTTATTTATATTTATAAATGGACTGTATTTATGTCTCAGGAAAAGATGGATTTACTGTATCATATAATCCAATCACTTTCTTGTGCGAACATGGATTTTAGGCACAGATACCGACAATGATAGATATTTCTATATATTGCTATTCTGGCTCTTAAGAAAATCTCATTATTTCAGGTTCTAAGGACAGAGGTGATCAATACAGAAATGTGTGTGGGCATATGTTATGATGTCACTGGGTTTCCACTGGCTAAGTGCTAATTAGCCAGGCTTACAGCAGACATTAGCAGGCGGTGTTTTAGAAGCCAACCTGCCACAGTGACCTACATGGCTCCTGCTGTCACTCACTGTGCTGCTGTAACATGACTACACTGTATCAAACCTTTCTTTGTGTATATTGGGGCCGTTCTCGACCACAGAAATTCTTAGTCAACATACACTAACGATTTTGTCGACTAATCGATTAGTTGATTTAATCAACAGCTCTAAAACTGAGTTTCCCTACGAAGAATCACACAAAAGCCCCACTCTAAATCCTGTGTTTGCCAGAGATTTGTTTATAAGTTTCTTGGAAATAAATCATTCAATATGAAAAAAGTTGTGATTGTGATTGGGAAGCCGTTTCCTATCCAGCACCTGTGGACCACACCCAGCCTGTCACCCCCTCACTCCCTCCCTCCCAGAATGCAGGCTGGCAGAGTGAGTTTAGCACGTATCCCCATACGGAGCTAAGCATTATTTCACCCATATGGTGTCGCCCAACGCAGCTGCACGCTCACCCGCTGATTATTAAGGCACGCGCAAGCTGGCTTGTTGTCAGAGAGAGTCATTCCAAATGCGTATGCTACTTTAGTATATCCAGAACTCTGTTGCGTTATTACTTTATTTATCGCTTCCTTTCAACACATTTAGGAAAGGGGATCTGTAGTGTGCACAGGCTTGGTGGCACATGTACATCCACAGCCAGACACATGGACATGCACACACATGTTCACACACCTGCGCAAACCAGCGGGTATACAGAGAACACTGGATAGCGAGAGGGTCGTGGTTGCCGGGTTTTTGCAGAAGTAATCTATTTTAGGATGATAGTACATTATTTTTGCTAGTCTCGCCGCAATCTCGCTGTGCTGCCCACAGGCTGTGTGTTTCTGAGGAGACTGGAGAATCCAGGCAGCATGAACACAAGAAGCAATGACTTATTATTCATTGTTATTCACGAGTCACGACTGCTTTAGGTTGCCTCTTGGCTTAAAAGAAATCCTAAATCTGACTTCAGAGATGATGCTGTTAATTGTGCTGTTTGAAAATCATTGCAGAAGAAAAAATATAGTTGATGTGGTTTTTAATGAATTGCTCTCTTTCCTCCCACAGACGTCACGACCGGAGGCCTTCCCTCACCCTCACAGACTCCCAGCAGAAGGCAACCGTCTTGGATCAAACCGATCCTGCTCACAGGTTAGCGCCCCCCCCCCCCCCAGCAAGAGGCAGCAGAGTGCTTAACCAGAACATGGACCAACAAGGGCATCTTTTCGTTTTAGTGTTAACCTTACATGAGGTTTACGTGAATTATTTCATCAACATTGCTTGAGAGATAGTATTCCCCTTTTTCTTATTATTTTATTTTCATACATTTTCATGCAGTGAGCTACTCCAGAATGCTCTCTCCTATTAGAAATAAAAGGCTTGGATATGCCTCATAGATGCTTGTTATGTTTTTTTGATCATTAGCCGAGCAGCTCATTGAAAAAGAAGAGCCTCACTAAAGCATGTGAATGGTGATAGTCACAACTCAGGTCTTTTATATTGACATACTCCTGAGAAAATCATAAATGCAGCTGTGGACATCTGTCTGCACATATGTGGTTATGTGATGTAACACATCACAGATTTCCATTGATGCAAGTGCAGCTTCTTTAAGCAGCATGGCCCCGGTTATCTACAGGCACGTAACTGTGTTTACCTCCGTTGCCTGTTGTGGCAGGTGCTGGCAACTATATTTAGCTCTATCTCTATGCGTCAACCAAGTTGGCAGATCCTGCAGCAGCCCCTAACACGTGAGATGTACAAACGATCTACTGTATGGATGGGGAAAGCTTTTTTACCTGGAATGCTGTTAATAAATATTATATGAAATAATGTATTATGTTGCTAATGCAGTACATTGCTGAAGGCTACATGAAAGGACACAGGATGTAGAGGAAGCTCTCTTTTGAATTTTCCACCTGAAATTTGAGTGGGATTGCTGCTCAGTAAGGGAAAGCATGTCTTACAATATAATGTATAACGCCCTTCTTGACACAGATACTCGTCCATAGGATATCTCCTTTTTCCCAGAGAACTTGGCACAGGACAGAGGTCTAATTTTGCCCATCATTGCCAGGGCTGAACCTTGCAAGGCTGTGACACATGTAATCATGCTCTCAGAGCAAGCAGCATGGCAGCCAGTGAAAAGCAGGTTGCTGCTCTTCACCTCCCCCACAGAGCCACTACAGACAGACTGTGTCAGTACCCAGCCTCACAGGCTTTGTCCCCATTTCACTCTCAACCTGATCAGTAATTCCAGCCGCCGCTCGCCAGGGGTCCTGGTCACCTGACCCTCCACAGACGAAATGCATGTGAAAAGGATGTAGATCGCGAGCTGAGAACACAAACAACAATTGACGAGCTGGAGCCCAACACAGACAAATACTCTTGAAAAAAATGAAAGGGCCTGTAACAAGCTTTTAGCGACAGTGAAAAAAGAATAATTCATTTAGACTTCTCGCTGACCCACTCTTTCAACATGCCTTTGGTGTGCGTAGATGTGCTGTTCAGTATTTGGTATTCTGTTCCATTGAAACACAGTGGGCTATTCCCTACAGGAAAAGATCATAAAAGCCTTCTAGCTGTGGAAATTGGCCATTTTCTTTGTTGATTTTCCTGATTATTCTCTTTTTTTTCTGAATCAAAGTCTTTAGTCACACTGCTTGACATTTTAGGTTGACGGAGTGACAGAAAGATCTTTTTTCCTCTGACCCTATTTTATTTGTGTCTCTGTTAAGTGTTTTCATGTAACTTTATTGTTTCTAATTTCTTTATTCAAGGCAGTCAAATTTAAACAATCCCTCTGTTTTACAGAAGTTTGGCCCTGGTGTAGGGACCCTGCCTCAGCTTGAGCCACCGGTGGTCCAGGTGGTGGTCAGCAATGCCAAAAACCAACACCAGCAGTCGGACAACATCCTGCCCCAAATTGCCAACAAAGTGGGCCAAAACAACTACCAGACACACCCAGTGAGGCCCTCATACACCAGCAGCCTGTGATGTCCTACAGTGGCAGCTCGTTTTGCATTGTGATGTTTCTGATGGAAACAAAAAGTTCAGCATCAATATTTCAACCCAGTAGCTTATACAACGCAAAGCTGAGAAACAGCCTGATAGTTGCAGGGACTGTGATGTGTTGTTACTTTATCTGTTATTTGCTCATAATTACAAAGGGTCTCTGCTGTCTCTGTGTGTGTTTATCGTACAGGATGAGAGGCCGAAGCATACCCAGCAATTCAGCATGCGTATTGGTGCAGCAATGGATAAAGTGTCCGTCTCCCGCATTAGCAAGGTTGTCAGCAACAAGCTGGAGAAAGAAAAGGAATATGAGGGACACAAGTTACCCATGTCCCCCATAGGTATGATATCGTGGATAAGAATACAATACAAGAGAATTACAGAGTCATTATCTCACATTTTGAATCTTTCGGGGGTGTTCCAAGACAGGCTTGTAACTAAGTAACATTTAGTTTTGATGCCGTAAAAATAGCATGCCGGCATTGAAGACGATTGTTCACAATCCTCCTCTTTTGGCAGAGGTGTAATCAATATGATAGTGACTCATCTCACCCTCTTCTTACTTCCTGTTGCAGAAGCACTGAAGAACTTCCAGGACCGGCTGACGGAGTTTGAGCAGGAGGAAATCATGGACTACGCAGAGATATGGTTCCTTGGTCTGGGCTCTCAGAAGATCGAGGGTTCCCAAGGCACACCGCAGAACTGTGGATATGATGACGAGCATGGAAGCTACGTCAGGGTAAGATGGTTGGTCTGTCGCAAAACATTAAGTCTGTTTTGTTTTTTTTATTCATATGTTATGTTACTGTTCTGTGGTTAAACAATTACAAGCAAAGTGTTGAAACTCAAGCTTGGCACGCAAACTTTCAAGAAATATAAATATAATTGGACTGAAAAAGTTTACTGTTTTCCAACTCCCAAGTCTTACCTCAAGTGCCTCTGGGAGTCTTACATCTCCCAGAGGCACTTGAATGCCCCGCCAAAGAGTTTGCTAATAAAGGTGACTGAATGTTTCACCATGTGGAATTTTTTTACTGTATCTCTCTAGCAAATTTGAAGAAAGTCAGTTTTCATAAAGTGCCAGCAAGAACTAAAGTCATAGTGTTGTAGATTTGCAAACCACCAGTAAAGTTCTATAAATGGCCCCATGGTTATTCAGAAAAGTATGTACATGTGTCAATTGTGTAGAAACATGAAATTGATATAATTTTAAAAATAAGAAGATTAACTGAAAATGTGAAGACTCGTCAATTATCATTTCACACACTCACACACACATATGCATGATTTCAACCTGCGTAAGATGAACTGTACATGACCAGACGCCTTCATATGACCTTAATCCAGCAGCTGCAGACGGTCTGTTGGGCTGACTTCTGGATAGTGATGGATATTTTTTTATTTCAGTAAAAGCATGCAGTGCATAATGCTCAAATATTCACAGTGCTCTTCCTTTTGCTTTTTCAGGTGCTGCATGACCATATTGGATACAGGTTTGAAGTGCTTGAAGTGATTGGGAAAGGCTCCTTTGGGCAGGTCCTGAAGTGCCTGGACCACAAGAACAACGAACTCGTAGCCATTAAGATGATACGCAATAAGAAAAGGTACGAGTACACTCACATATTTCATTCAGATTTGTTTAAGTTGACCAATTCACCTTTGATTGGGCCTTTCCTAGAAAAGATCTTAAAATTATTGTTTAATAAGCAGATTCTCTATATAATAAGTTATTAATCGCAATCAAAGACTCAATGTGGCATTCATCTGAGATCTGATACCCCGTTGTGAGGTTTTCCCAAATGCCTTTGCCGCAATCCCTTTACATTTTAGGAGTCAAATTGTTGAGATCTTGATTTAGCATGATAGAAGTCGGAACCCATGGTGTTGTCTTACCTGCGAGTCCTGTAGGTTAGATGCAGGAGTCATCGGTCTTACCGCCACTTCAATAATGCAGAAAACAAAATGGTGCAAACTGCTTGCCTCAGGAGAACTCTGCTTATCTTTCCATGGAGGGGATTGTGTATGGTTGATAAAGACATATCCAGGGATTGATGTACAGGGACAAACCTCTCAGAGATAATCAACAGCAGAAATATTCATATAGTCAAACATTTCCAAAGAGTGCTGCTATTTATCACTATTTGGCATGTCAGAGCTTAAATACATATACATAATTCATTCTGGCCCTGCAATACCTGGAAATTCAGAAATAAAATGGTGTTGAAATCTCAGATAATATTTTTGTATTCCAGTTACATAACATCTTCTGTACCTTTTTTCTGTAGGTTTCATCACCAAGCTCTGGTTGAGCTGAAGATCCTGGATGTGATCAAAAGGAAAGACAAAGACAACCTCCACAACGTCATCCACATGAAGGAGTACTTTTACTTCCGAAATCACCTCTGCATCTCCTTTGAGCTTCTCGGGTTAGTACGCGTCTGGTGACTGTGGACTTCGGTACCTGTTTACAGACAAAGTGTTGCACCTAGCTCAGTTACTTACTATGTATTCTGCATGCAAGCAAGCAGGCCTGCATGTCCATAAGTTAGTTTCACAGGAGAATATGTAGACATTACTGTTAATCAATGGTACAACAGCACCATTAGATCACTGTACTGTCTTACCAAAGGCACTTGTCTGTATTCATTAATTCTAACACTACATGACCACAGTCAATCAGGAGTTAAGTGTACGTTCAGCCATCTGTGTTTTAGCAACTGATATCTATTTGAAGGGAGATAGTACTTTGTATCACTCAGGCTGATTGACCTTTAGAGGACGTCTGGGACCGCCACCTTGTCTTGCCTTACTGTCACCGAATCCTTTAGTTAAGGCCTTGATTAGAGCCCTATCTCTTACCCCCTCCTTGCTTCATGGTGTGAAAGCTCAAGTTACACAGTCTAAAGAAGTATATGCTTATTACACGTAGCAAGAAATAGTAGGTGGACACATTCTGTGTCTCTGTCTCCCTCTGAATGAGAGCACAATCAAGGATCATTTAAGTGCGCGCTTCTCAGTCAGTGGATGATTTATCAAGTGTGATGTAAAGTGTAGAGTGACATCAAACTTAGCAGAGAGTTTATTTGAGGAACATGTAACAGTTCTCCTTGTGGTGCATCTTTTTATAAGTGAATCCGTACTGAGCTCCCTCTGCTATGTAAGGAACAAAGTACTTAGATAGGATATATTTTCTTTACAATAATCTCTATCAGTCTCTTTAGGTTTTAACAGCATCATGAACTAACGAGACATCGTGTTGTTTCTTCCATCAGAGTGAACTTGTACGAGCTCATCAAAAAAAACAACTTCCAGGGCTTCAGTCTGGCTCTCATCCGTCGGTTCACCCATGCTCTTCTCAGGTGCCTGCAGATGCTGCACAGGGAAAAGATAATCCACTGCGACCTCAAACCGGTACTGACTTCATAGTTTCTGTAATACCTGAACCTTTTTTTTAGCTATAGAATATAAGACAGAATTTAGAATATAGTCAACAAAACTTGATGCTGACCACTCCTTTGCACTGAATCATTGCACTGCTGTTGATAATTGATTCCCCAGAACAGTAGTGTGGATTTTGCTCCGCCTTGTGGAACAATATGATATTGCAGCTGCCTTATATAAAAGCAACTCGCTTGAAGGTTTTTGCTTCTACTTTTCAACAGGAGAACATCCTTCTGTCTCAGAGAGGGCCAGGGAACATCAAGGTGGTTGACTTTGGATCAAGCTGTTATGAACAACAAAGAGGTAAGAGCGTAAAACTCAACTGAGAAAATATGTAACAAAACGATGTCGGGATAGTGAAAGAAATGGTCCACAGAATGTCTATCTCATATCCCTCACAGTCTCTTCTTTCTTTTCCATTAGTGTACACCTACATCCAGAGCCGCTTCTACCGCTCCCCAGAGGTCATCCTGGGTCACCCATACAGCATGGCCATTGACATGTGGAGTCTGGGTTGCATCCTTGCTGAACTCTACACAGGCTATCCTATCTTCCCAGGAGAGAGCGAAGTGGAGCAGATAGCCTGCATAATGGAGGTACGACATGGAAAGACATTTATTTAGAAATGTAAACGCACAAGAATTTTCCAATATAGCTGTTGAGTTGCGTCAGTTTGTTAAGGTGTCCTGATATTTTGACTTACAGGTTCTTGGGATGCCTCCAAATGATTTTGTTCAGTCAGCTGCGAGGAGAAGGCTGTTCTTTGGTGAGAATTTATTCCGATATTTTTAATATCTCATTCGTGCCTTATAGCAAACAATGTAGACCACGAAACGTTATCAGAAGATAAATGAATAACTAGGCCAGTGCTTTGCAGAAGGTGTGAGACTACGCAATAGGAACAATGTGCTGAGATTATATATTTTGATAATTGTCTGCAGACTCAAAAGGAAACCCTAGGAACATCACCAATAGCAAGGGGAAGAAGAGGAGACCCAACTCCAAGGAGCTGTCAGCAGCGTTGAAAACGAATGACGCTTTGTTCTTAGACTTCATCAAACGCTGCCTCACGTATGTTCACTCTAAACATCTGCTTGACTGTCAACCAGAACAGGAAATAACAATGATGAGATGAAACAACAATCTGTACAAGCAGACTTAAGTTTTTTTTCTGTATGTGTTTTCAGTTGGGACCCGACCAAACGTATGACTCCAGATGAGGGGTTAAAGCACGAGTGGATCCTGGAGGGAAATTTCAACAAAGTCCGGCCAAGAACCAAGCCAACAGTGAAGAAGGTCTCAGACAGTTCGACCAGCAAGCCTGGTAAGAGTACAGTCCATTTCATCATCCATACTATATACTTAGGATAGTACCCATATTTACAGGACATTTTAAGTAAAAGTAACAATTCTAGATACAACAAACAGCTCAAATAGAGCAGAGACCTCTTACATAATATAATACATAAAAAACGGTTCAGGTGGAATTATTAGCAATTGCCATAGCAGCGGACATACCAACAGAGTTGTTTTGTATTCACCTTGAGCTGACATTTAATGTTTTTTTTTTGTTTTTTTTTGGCACAGCGGAGAAGGTCAGCTCCGAAAGCAGCGCTACTGACAAGCTGAAGAGAGACGGCACAGCAACAGCAACAAAGATGGCCACTGCCGAGCGTCTGCGGCCCATCGGGGCCTCAGCGGAGGAGGAGGTGTGTGAGAATGAGGGGAAGCTGTCCACAGATACCAAGCAGCAAGAAGGAGGTGGAGAGAGGCCCATTCACATTATCATCAAGCCTCAAGAGGAAATGGGCACAGAGAGAAAAGATAGCCAAGAGCAGTCTCAGTGTTTGCCCCCTATCTTATAACAGTCAAAGGGGAATCGTGCTGCGTTCATGACATGTGGGAACTGTTGTTTAGGCTCAGTGTCCCACTCCCCACCTGAGAGTGATTGAGATGGTGAAGTGGAAGTAAATGGACAGCGAAAAGAAAGTGCCATTTGTTTGGCCCTGCACACATAGAATATTTAAAGATCCATTTACTACGAATACTACCATGTTGTTTCTGTGTCTACACGACGTCACAAAAACAACATGTTGGAGACGTCTGAACCAGAGGAAAAGTCTCAGTTTCTGAGTTTCAAGTCGGAATGAAGTGGATGTTTTCAACTCAAAGGTAGGAAGCAAACCAGTTCCCAAATGCCGTGAACACAATATAGATGTATGGAGGGGACACTATGATCATCAGCAAAGAGGGACACCCTCTATTTATTGTTTCAAGTATACAGTCATAGTGTATTTTTTTATTCTGTGAAACTTTGGGTTTGTATGACCGTGAAGTTAATTAACCAGTTGTACTTTTTTTTTTTTTTTTTTACAAAGGACTTAAGGTGCAGTTGCAGGCATTTTGTTTAAGTGTGTCGCAATTGAGATACCAAGCTGTCTGCCCATGTTGACTATAGATGATTTTAAAAAACAAATTCATAGTTCAGCATCACCTTCTCCACTGTCTCCTGTATTATCTATTGAACCCAATTTTTGCTGGGCATTGAAATCTTTGATAAACAGGTTATACCATAACACTTTTACTTTTCTCATTTTCCATGTTAAAAAACAAAGTAGTACACACTGCATGGTTATAAAATGTATCAAATATTTGGTTTTGCATTTTATTCTTTTTTTCTTTTACACATTTAGCATAACTTTCATAATGGTAAAATATTTTAAGAAGTGTGTGCAATAAAGGCTAAGCCAAAATATGTTTTTTTTAAATCATTTTAAAGAAATAATTGTCGTATACTTTTTAATTGCAGAATTCAGTTGATGACATTGATTATTAATGATTTCACGTGTTTATTATGGAATATGTTTGATCTTATGTTTCGTATTTGTTTAACAATTTAATTTAACAATCACAAACTATTTAATTGTAATATAATTTATTGTATATATTTTTGCTGTAATTTACTGCGTATGTGTAATACAGAACACATGTTAAGAAAATATTTCAGATATTTTTTGAGGGTTTAGACAAGGTTTTACTTGTTGTGTTGTCACTGTATGAAAATATTTTGTATGTCTATTATTCATAACATTTTTTATTTTAGAAACAAAAAGACAATCCAGTTATTGATAGTTCGTGCCTTGCAGTATTAGAAACCTCGCACTTTACTATTCTTTGTGTACACCTGGATTAGAAACCGTTGGATTCTTACCCGTCAACAAGGGTTCAGACTAGTCTGCCAGAATCCCTTTTATTTGACAAAATGATGTCCCGTCTAATGTTACAGAACATACCATCTTTTTACAATGGATTTATGTCTTAAGTCGCCAACAGAGATTCAAGTTAGATGTGCAAGACCGGTGCCCTCACTATCTATTAGCTAAGCAACACGCGATCCCAAGAGAATGGATTGCAGCTGAAATAAGAATGGTTATGTTGTACACGTAAACATTTGTATGTCTCTTTGTCTTTTATGATGAAATAAAAGGTTGTTTTAAAGAGCATATGCTGTCATATTTTATAGTATTTATTCAAATGTTTGTGTTTTTGTTTCCATGCTTCAACTTGAAAGGATAATGAGGCACTGTTGACATATTGTTATAATGCAAATTAAAGCTCTCACTTATAGTTTTAAGATGTAGTAATAGTTTTCACTGCCTGTTGCTAAATAAGTAACTGGTAAATAAAAAATATGGATTGTAAATAAGAATTGTACAATCATTTTGTAATCATGATTACATTTAGATTATTATTGTTTTTCCATTTAAGAATTCTTCTTTATCATATTCCATCCTAATAACTTCTCCAACTATTACTGAAATTGACTAACATTTGCAGTTGTCACTTTGCTCTCTCTACTGTATGTTTGAGCAGTGTGCCACCTACAACTTAGAAAAACAGGAGCTCTGATTGGTTGGTTGTTATATATGTGCACAGCACAGGGCTGCCACCTGCTGCTTTGTGCAGGAACGAGTGGTGGAAGGAGTGGCTTAGACCCTCTTTATTTGAGTCATTCAGTGCATCATAAATACTAATTCAAAATAGCATTTGAAGTATTATTAAGTCTAATAATTATAATTAGAAATTATAAACCTATAATTATTCTGTTGGCACACTCCAGACCAGACTCCATAGTTTGTGGTCAGTTATAAACGATTCTGGCTGTAGAAGAGATGGGACATAGCAGAGAGAGATGAATGTTGTCTTGGCCAAGGGCGATCTAATCTAATATAATGGCCTACCCCTCATTATGACTTGCATTAAGCCATTAATACCCGACAACGCCAGAAACGCGCGGATTGCATCTATAATTATGTGAAAGAGTTTAGATAAAACCATGCGTCATCTAAAATGTATTAAATCTATTTTAAAAAGCTGTTGTTTGTTAATAAAAAGGTAAACACAACATGTAAAAACCTTTCCACAGTCACTTGAATAGTATTTTAGTGCTTGTTAATTTATATATGGGTGTCAATCGAAACAGACACTGTTCATATCATTATTTTCTTCTCATGACAATTATTGAATGAACACAGCATGAAAAACTCTTTTTTTATGATCATAATAAGTCACTTTCACACTTTTCATTGTCAAACCAGAGGTTGCATTTCCAAGACCTTTGTCTGTATGTTGACGTATAAACTTTTGTATACCTTTTGTATTGTTAGGACCACATCTTTCAGCTTTCGCCTTGCCTGTGCGCTGCACTGTGGTTATAACTTCATGTACCGCTGTTGTGAACTGACGTCGGCTTCTTGGCCCATACGGTGTGCCGTAGTCGGAAAGATGGCGACCGTAGCGCTGGTTGGCCGTCCTGCGAGTGTCCTTCCCAGAATTTCAAGTGAGTAATGCTAAAATAGTAGACATGTGATGCTTGCATTGACATCTAGGAATATATTGTTGTTATTTCAGATATTTACACGTAACTCACGCTAACCCAGGCTCACAGTTAGACCACATACTCTGCTCGAGTGACCTTGCTAACCGGCTCGGCTAGTCACCTCCTAGCAAGGGCTTTAGCTAGCTGGCAGCTCACATTTAGATGTTTGAATAACTCTAATATTATCAGTTTACTGACTATACAAAGACCTGCATCACTATGTGTGTTAATAAATGAACGAATAGTTAAGTTAGGCTAAGCTGTAGCCATTATCCTGCACAGTGGCCTAACTTGACGTTGCGTCTGTTATGGTGGTTCACTTGCTGTTGTGTTTTTTTGACGTTACATTAACGTCACGATATGTTTTTACTTATGAAATACAACAGCAGCTTTATATTTCCGACTAATTGATATGTTGTTTTACAGTGACGATGCTTAAAGTGACAGTGACACTGAGCTAGCGTTAGTGCCTGACTGTTATATGGTTCACATCAACTCATTTTCTTTATTAAATAACGCAGTACTTGTCCACCCGCACAGTCTAAGGTTCCTGTCATTGGTTATTCGTTAGGAAGCATGCTTCTTGCTCATCATGTATGTGTGTTTTCCTCTGGTCAATGTATACAATAGTATCAGATTTAGCCATTTTTTTTTACAGCTAATTCGTAGTATGTACACAATGTGCCCAAAAAATTAAAATAGAAAAATACATTGCATTCAATACCACTACAGAAGCTCAGTGTCACATTGTCAACGTTATAGATCTACAGCTTTAACGTTAGATGATTTACCTATGTAGTTAGTGATGATGTTGAACTGTATTGTGTATCTGTCCACCCCGTTTATATGAACAAGGTTAAATCACAGTAAGCATCAGTAACACCTCTCAGCATACTGCTATACAAATTAAGAGCACCACAAACCTCTATAATGTGATTCAAACACTGCCTGTGTTCCTTTCCTCTCAATAGGTAGCTGCTCCCCTGCCGTACTGTCCGCTGCCTCCGTCACCAAAGTCCAGCAGAGGAAGCTACACCATGCTGTCGTCCCCAAAGGGAAAGGAGGACGCTCCTCCTCCAGTGGAATAGCGGCTACGGTGTTTGGTGCTACGGGTTTTCTGGGTCGATACGTGGTCAACAGGCTGGGTGAGATGAAAAAATATAGTGTAAATAATTACTGGTGTTAAGTTAAATGCACACTAATAATCACTATATATTCAGCAAACTTGTGTATTTTGAGCTTGTAAACCTTACATAATGTTTCTAATAACCCACCAAATGACTATTTCAGGCATTTTAATATATACATATTTCACATCCCTGTACAGACTGCAGGCTTATGTCACGCGTGGCCAGGCACTGTAGTTCTTTTGTTGTTGCAGTCATCTCAAACAACTCATTTGAAAAGTATTACTAATGTTGGGATATGATTTAGGCCCATCCAGAATGTATTGACTTGTGATGGAGCTATAACCACATATGATGCACTTTACATAGCATACAAAGTATAAATTGATAATGCAGAGAAGTGATTAGCTATACTCCTTTACATCCACTGATGTGTTTGCTAGTGTCTCCTTAAGCCCTCCAGGTAAAAATGTTCATTAAAAGATAATGAAAGATCATGCTTGTGTATTGTCTATTTGACAGTACAATAATATACACTGCATACAAATATTATAAATTTTCTATCAAGTAATATTCTAACAAATGTCACTTATATTTTGATAACAAATGAGTATTTAAAAAATACACAAATAGAAATATGCAAAAAAGAAAAGTTAGCTCCTTAAGGGTACCAAAAACACCAACGTTTTTTTGTAACCTGTTTTGCGATCGGCAGTCACATGTCACATATTTTATTTTATATAGTAACTAAGAAGTTGAAAGGTAGCTTATATGAGACATTTAACCTATATATTGTAATGTTGCCAGTTAAGGAGATCCGACTCTAAAGTGGTTTGAATGGTGGTCCATATCGCAGCAGGGATTTATGGAACATGCTTCAACAAAACTGATCATACGTAAGAGAACGACCCAAAGATGTGATTGTATGTTTCTTGCAGGTCGCATTGGCTCTCAGATTGTCGTCCCTCACCGTTCTGATCAGTATGACATCATGTACTTGAGGCCCATGGGTGATCTCGGACAGATCATTTTCATGGTAAGATGCTTACAGACACACGGGTCTCTTAAAGAAATCTTGCCACACTCTTGGATGGTGGATTCTTTGATCTGCATGTACTTATTTATATGAACGATAAATTTAGAGCCTTAAATGAAATGCAAATGTGTTGTCTCTCCGTCTGGTCACAGGAGTGGGATGCCAGGAACAAAGATTCCATCAAACGGGCCTTGGAGCACTCCAATGTTGTCATCAACCTTGTCGGCAGAGAGTGGGAGACAAAGTATGTGTGGACTGGAAACATGTCCTAAAGTATCTGCTTTATGCATGATGTTGTTGGCATTTTAAGCTGGTTTACAGACGAGGTATAGGTGAATGTTGGAGGACATTGCTGACTGGGCGTGTAAATTGTAGGTCAGCATTGCTCCTCTTTTTGTGCACAGGAACTATAGCTACGACGATGTCTTCGTGACCATCCCTCAGCAGATTGCCAAGGCAGCCAGAGAGGCCGGCATCACAAAGTTCATCCACATGTCTCACCTCAACGCTGACATACGCAGCCAGTCCAAGTACCTGAGGAACAAGGTGAAGGGCTGTTTTGGCTCATTTAAACTTGTGTTTCTGTTGAACAGTATCAACATGTTTAAGCCAGTGAAGGTCAACCTGTATAAATGTACTTTCACCCATAGGCTGTAGGAGAGACGGCAGTGAGAGATGAGTTTCCCGAAGCGGTCATCATGAAGCCCTCTGAGATCTTTGGGAGGGAGGACAGATTCTTCAACTATCATGCAAGTAAGACGGTTGTTTGTGTGAGTGAAAGAGACTGAAGTCAGTCATTGACTGTAATCTACTAGGACAACACGGCAGTTTCTGGGTGTTGCGAATGTGACTCGTGTTAGTGAACGTTGTTGCGCTCCTTTTCACTGATTTGGTTGCTGTGCATTTAGTGCTCTTTCATGGACGCTCTCCAGCTGGCATTGTCGTCTCTTCATCAACTTCTACAAACACAAGTGGAGCTATTGCTAAAATAATTTGACCACTTGTCAAATGTTCCCTTTTTGATTCCAAGTTATCAGCTAACCAGTGAAAATGCACTGTGTGGTTTTAACCCTTTTTCAGACATGCGATGGTTTGGCAATGCTGTTCCACTCATATCCATGGGAAAGAAGACTGTGAAGCAGCCTGTTCATGTGCGTTTGTTGAAAGGGGGCAGCTATTCTGATATTTTCCCTTCTAATAAATACAGTAATCATGACCAAATGAACCCAACTAACCCGTCTCTTTTCTCCCTCAGGTGGTGGATGTGGCCAAGGCCATTATCAATGCTGTCAGAGACCCTGATGCTAATGGGAAGACGTATGCATTAGTTGGGTAGGTGGTCAGTGCTTAAAAACCCTGTGCTTAGGGTTAGACTGAGCAAATACTGAAATTTCATACACAAGAACATTGAAGGGGAAAACACAATGCATCATGGTCAACTGTTTAGTCTTTGGTTTAGAGGTTTACGCTGTTATCTACACTCCTATCTGGTCAAATATTTTTACTAGTTTTCAAAGCACTTTATGGTCTTGCACTGGTATCGCAGATGTTTACAGTGTGTGAACCGGTACGGCCCCTCAGGTTGTTCCAAAGTGCAGGACTAAAACCATTGAATCAGCTTTGTTCACAGTGTTGAAGTCTTTGAATGTAAACTTTGATTTAGAATGGGTGATAGACATTTTAGTCACTTATTTTATTAATGTTTTTATTTCATGCTGTTTAATTACTGTTACTGTTATTATAGCTTTTCATTCTATTTTGTTATCATTTTTATATTTTCATTGTTAAGTCGTTTTTGTCTTTTCTGTTTTCACAGTCCACACTTGTTTTATTTATTAAGTTGGATTATCGATTTTACAAAACAAATTTATTGGAATAATTTCCATTAGTTTATAAGTTTGGGAGTGAGAGGAACGAGAGTGCGAGGATCAGACAAAGATGCAATTAAGTGAACGTCAGAGAGCACCTCTAGAGAAGAGGCCCTATTGAAGGAAAGGAAACCTTGTCTGTCATCATATGTTGGTCTGTGTTTCATGCCTTGTATTTGTATCACTTGTGAGCTCAGATTTACATGATGGGGGCTCTCCTTCATGAATTGTTTTTGTCCTGTTTTCTCTCGTTGTCTAGTCCCAACCGGTACCTCCTCCATGACCTGGTGGAGTACATCTACGCCGTGGCACACAGACCTTTTGTGCCCTACCCTCTGCCCCGCCCACTCTACCAGTATGTGCTTTAAAAATGTTTTTCAGCATTTTCAGAGAAAAGGCATCTTTTATGTAACTAACTGCGGGGTTTGTTTTGGGTGCAGTTGTTATGTACCCCTGTACAATCATGTGATAGTTTCTTTTTTTTTTTTTTCTACTTTCAGCATTGCTGCGAAGTTTTTTGCAATGAACCCATTTGAGCCCTGGACAACCCCAGACAAAGTGGACAGGGTGAGACGACCAAGATCTTTCTATAGCTTGAAACTGGAAGTTTTGGGAACACTAGCCATTCTGATGTGCTGCTTTGAAAAGGGCCTATTGTGCCACCAACCGTGGAGGCTCTACCGCCATCACTAATTCTGCTCTGTGCTTTCATTTTCCAGTTTCACACAACAGACATGAAGTACCCAGGACTTCCTGGTCTGGAGGATCTTGGCATCACTCCTTCCACTGTAGAACAAAAGGCAATTGAGATTCTGCGTCGTCATCGCCGGTTCCGTTACCTGGAAGCTGACCTGGATGAGACGAGGCCAGCCAAGACTGTCCACTATTAAACTACCAACAACACCAGAGCAGTACCTCTGATTGTTTGGTTTTTAATTCTATTCTGTACATAAATAAATAAAAAAAGATCCTCTAAGGGTTGTCTTGTTTTTATTAAATATGACTTTTCACAGTTAGTGTCTCTAAAGAGTTTTCACCTGTTCTTCATGTTCACCCCATTGGACGTTTTATTTTTGTACTACAGAGAACTGTTCACGAAGACAACAGCAAACTTTGTGAACAATAATGTTAATGTCCTGGAGGGGTCAGGTTTGGGTTCAGACTTTAATACAATTGAGCCATTAGTACTTATGGATTGCTGACAGAACCTGAGCAGAGAAGAAAAGCTACTTTACACTAACAACTATAACAGCCTCACGTAAATCACAAAAACTAAATGCACAAATTATAATTAATTTGTCATTGTTCAAGTTGTAAAATGAACGATGTCAGTTTAGGGGTAGTACCTAAAGTCATTGTTCTTTTTGTGTTAATGTATTCTGGTACGTGTGAGTTCGTTGTTCCATAGTCGATGCTGCCTAAACGCGGTAACGCTTTGTGTTGTCGCATTGAATGAACACGTGCAATGCAAATCAGCTTGTTCCATTATCCAACTTTAATAATGAAAATTGAGTAAAGGGGGTCGGAAACTGAGACGGCTCGCCTTCAAAGTAAAAGTTATTCATTAATGACAACATTTTAATATTTACAGATATTTCCTGGCTTTTCTTAGTCTGCAGGACTGTTCTGGTCCGACTCATTTCTCAACTTCACCGGTTTGGTGTTGCATTCAATAAAACACCCAAGACATCTAAAGTGACACTTTCGTATTGTGATTTATTTATTTTTTTGGTTCAACTTCAGTCATGTTGAGTTAATGTGAAGCTTTTTAAATAGTGAATCGGTTGCAGGTGGCTCGAAAGCAGAATGCATCTTTTAACAAGCAGGTACACCGAGTCATGAGGATTACTTTGTACAACACAGTAAATCGGTCCATATGCAGATTATAGCATTGCCACATATCCAACAGTTCTCCAGAAACCGTCAAAGGTCAGGGAAGTAAGAAGATGAACACATAAAACTGATTGTAAACACTTCAGGAATAATAAATATTTCATCAGGTAATGAAGCATCAAGTTAGGTTTGTAAGACCGAAAAAGCAATGCTTTCTCCACACAACTAAAAGTCTATGGCCATGCTGGCGGTAAGGATGTGAGGCTCATTAAACACAAATTATTGGAAGGATGAAACATTTAAAAAACAAACTATTCTTGAGTACCACTCTGCAAAAAATAAACTCCCCAAAAAAGTGAAGTTTGGCCTGAAGGTACCAGAAGGTACAGAGGTACCGCCATGCTTTTACAAAAAAAAGGGTTTATCCGCTCTAGGTGGCAATTTAATCTCATACTCAGCTTTGGACAGAATGCTCTCAGCACTCATCAGTCTCAGTTTGCCAAAATTCAAGTGAGACAAGAAGACATTTATGAGGACAACAGGATGCTCAATGCTTCCTCCTGCAGTGCGGAGAGTGTAAGAGGCCCTCAACAGTCTTATGATGACACAATACAGCACACCAGGTTAAAGAAACAAGCAGGGGCATTCAACCATCCTACACACAACCAGCATTTCTTGAAGCTCTTGCAGTACTGGTGTCTGCACAACCTTATCTACTTCTACACATCAGAACACATGTAGTTCTTCAGGTTTAGGGACATTTTTACATACAGCAGCCTGATTTAGCAGCGAGTAGGCATTAAACTCATCTCTTATACTGGAAACAATGTAGCCTTAATACACATACAGTTGGGCCGTACATTTTGTACTGTATGAACTGTGTTCTTCATTAACTGCACTGGTTTGAAAAAGAGCATTCGTTTATTTTCCAAAGGTTACTTCAGAAACAGGTAATTATGTACAAAATCTGGAATGTTGGATAAATGCATATCAATCATCTCACTGTGGCCGTTTCCAGAGCAGCCTCAGAAATACTAGCTATACATTAAAACGAGTGCCTCTGCATTGCAATTTATTGCTGCTAACTGCTGACTGCTAAATAAATAATAACAATACATGAGCATAAGAAACAGACCCACATAAAATGAAAGTGAATAAAATGTACCAATTTTAGATTTAGTTTAAAAATGAAGGGTACAGCTTCACTTAAAACAGTACAACTATTTCTATTAAAAGGGATATTTAATTTGGTTAATTACCACCGTATTTTTATTTTGGTTGGACAGTGCCTGTCTAAAAGCTCCTGATGGCTGAAAGAAATTGCAAAGCATTGCTGAATATACTGAAATCTTAAAGTGCAAATGAATTGCACTGCACTGCTGAAAGACCTGGAAACTGAAAAGTAAAACGGTTGCTGAACTTCATTACATAATAAAGCTAAGAGCAGAATATATTTCTTTTACTGTAATACTGTCAAAATGTGGAAATTTAAATTAATTAACTATTTAGTCTGAAAAAAGACATGCTTTGCGCTTTAAAAGGCAAACTGGGAAAAGTTTAATACAAGCATGAATGTCCTGAAAGGGCTCAACGTTTTAACATTAGAAGGGTTTCTTTAGCGGAAAGTATGCAGTGGTAGTAGAAGACAAGTAGTAGTCAATCGCAAATTGTACAGAAGAAGTCAATTTGACCAAACAAACAAAGATTCCATCAATTGGAGCCTAGTGGGCAGATAACCCACATAGAATCAAGGCTGTCACTAATGCCAAAGATACAGATAAAGGTTCAACAAAACATTAAAACAATAAAACATGCTCAAATCAAGGTAGTTGCCTAAGCTTTGTAGGCACATTAAATACTGAAGTGTACTTTGAAACCTTCTTTATATTTATAGCTTATGAGATAGTGTTAGTCCACCTTTCCACCCTCAAGTCAACACGGTACTATCAGGCTCTAGGTAGTGGAGGTTCCCTTAGCAGCAGTGTGTTGACTCTGTGTTCGTATGTCCGCCTCACAATGCTCTTTTGTAGATTTATGGGCGTCAAACAAATGTATAATGAAAGTCTTTTATCTTGAAGATAAGATACACTTTATTGTGCAATTTGATCTTTAAAGTGGCTGGCATATGAGGTAGAGAAAGACATTGATGTGATCCTTCTTTGAGAAGCCACAATGAAGACATATATGCGAAGAGCTGGAATAATTGCAGCCTTTTTACTCTTAATATACTTCATCATTTACATGATCGCGAGTTGGAGGACAGGCAAATCTTTTCCAGAGGGAGCCTCTAATCAAGAGGTTGTGAGGAGGAAACTGGACCGGATTGAAAAGACCCTAAACAAGCTCAGTGAGTACCAATTCAGAGGCAAAGTATAAAAAGGTTGTAGTGTAAAGCTCTGACTTTCTAATCATATATTATATTATTTTTAAAAGATCTGTAATCTAAAGTAAATGAGGAAGAAGACATTTTCATTTCCAACTCCTGAACAAGCAAGAGTTGTGTCGCTAAAAGAGATTGCTGAGAAATGAGATCCACGCTGTAACTTTAGTGAACTGCAAGTAAATCCCCTTAAAATGTAAATATAGTACATCTTTGCCGTCTAGGTTCTGCTGTGTTAGCGGGCGTCTCTGTAAGTACCCCTCCTGAAAAAAAGCACAGTTCGCTCTGTGGGAAAAATATGGGGCACCTTTGCAAGGTTATTTCCAAAGCCGTGAGTGGAGATACTCACATGTACGTATATTCTAAGGAGCCTGCAAGTGACATAGAAAGAGGAGCCACATCTGAATGACTTGTTAAATCAAAATGTTTAACATCAATGGCAGGTGTCCATAAGCAAGTGTACACAAATATCACTGAAATCACATGTTGTTCCTTTAGCCTGATTTGTAAGATGTTTTGTACGACATGTGATTTTACTGAGGATATATTCGAAGATTTTGCAGCAGCATTGATACGCTTTCCATTTCTTCCGGCTAAGTTGTCAAACACATTTATACTTCTACTGTTGTGTCGTTTTACTGACCCTGTTCATCATTTTTGTCTTTTTATGAACACAATCCAAATTCAAAACAAAGCAAAGCTGATAGAAGTATCTGGTCTGAAGAACTCCACCAATGAAGTATTACTAAATATGGATCAAGTGAAAGAGAAGATTGTGATGCCAAAGTTATATCCAAACTCCATCCTGTTTGCCCAGTGGGGCGATGACCTGTCAGAAGAGGAACAGAAGGAGGCTGAGGGGCTGTTTCAGATTTATGGATACAATGCCTTCCTGAGTAACCAGTTGCCAATAGACAGGAAGCTTTCAGATACAAGAGACAAAAGGTAACTTATGTTCATACTGGTTCTGACTATTTTGAAAGTTGGTTTGATTATTTTGTGTCCTGACCGTTGCAATAACTTGCTATGCACAGTAATCTGATGTCTTCTCCGTCTTATGGGTGTTACTATGAACCGACTACCAGTGTTTTATATGCAGCTAATCTCATAAATCATATATTAGAATTTAGTTGCAGTAAATAACTGTGCCAAAGCAATATTTAGCCGGAAATACATGCACTCAACATGAGAAGTTAACTGTGACATAATGGCACCCTTTATCCAGCATATGACAGATCCGCCAACCCTACTGCACAGAGTAGGACAAATTAGGATCTAAGTTCTTTATGAGTTTACTAGTGATTTCAGTCTCTTCGTCCTCTCTTTTCTCTTCTGATGTCAAGCCAGATCAAACAATTACTCCTGATATCCTACATTCTATCATGCAGCATGGAGAACATCGACGCAACACAAGCTACATGACATATTGTCACACACTTGTCAATCTGTTTCTCCACAGTACACTACTGCTTGAGAACCGATTGACGGAGACATTAACCACAGTTTTCTACAACTGTCTCTACATCGCACTCCATTTAGGTGTCTGATGAAGAATTATCCCAGGGACCTGCCAACCATCAGTGTGGTACTGATCTACATAAACGAGGCTCTTTCGGTCATTAAAAGGGCCGTACGAAGCATCATCACCCACACTCCAAAGCACCTGCTGAGGGAAATCGTTCTAGTGGATGACTATAGTACTTACAGTAAGTGTAACTGTGCACTTGGAATAAAGCATGTCAATGTTTATCTCAAATGTCTCAGCACTCTGAACATCAGTCATGTCAGTCTCATAACCCCTGCTAAGGAAATTAGGGTAAATTGCATGATAGCGTTTTCTGTATGTAATTTGTAAAGCTGTTGTAGTAATCTGTGCTTGTGTCTTTATAGATTTGACTGTTAACTATATTTTCAGATGACCTTGGAAAACCACTACAAGACTACATTGATCAGATTCACAAAGAGAGGCCAGGACTCATAAAGAAAGTGTGGCATCAGCAACAAATGGGGTTGTCCCAGTCCCGGATCTCAGGCTGGCAGCATTCCACAGCAGATGTTGTGGCCATTTTGGATGCCCATGTTGAAACCACAGAGGGATGGTATGTACACATTTGAAATAAAGGGGGACTGTCAAGGGAAATAACAGTAAATGTACTGCTGTGAAGTTAAATTCCTTCACTAAGTTCCTGTCAAAATCCTACATAAATACTGTTGAGATTTAGTTATTTCACCTCCTTCCCTTGAAGTTATAACTGTTTAATTTTGGTGTCCTTACCAGGGCAGAGCCTCTGCTGGACAGGATCAAAGCGGACAGGACAGTGGTGGTGTCCCCTGTGTTTGATAAGGTGTATTTTGACGATCTACACGTAGAAAGATATCACCCGTCCGCTCATGGCTTTGACTGGGCTTTGTGGTGTATGTACGAGTCCTTTAGGCCAGAGTGGCTGAAGACGGGGGATGAATCTCAGCCTGGGAAGTACGTGGAACACACAAACTTAGTCAGATAACTGTGAGTGGGGTTATTAGATAAGACCCTCACCTGTTTTTTAGAGTTTTGGAGAGTTCTTCCTTGGGATTGGCTGATCACTTTGACTGCTAAATGCTAAAATGTGATTTTGAATACTTATACAAAAAAGTATCCAGCTTTTTTTGATCTCATGAAGTACTTGTATTCATAAATTCAGGGTAGGTCTAGTGGAGAATCAAATTATGTTCTTCATTAGCTTATATGAATTACCAGCGTTCACATTCATTTCACAGTAAAATTAACCTATAGTGGCCCTGTTTGTCTATTTTGGACAGGAGTCCCTCTGTTATGGGAATCTTTGCAGCAGACAGACTCTTCCTTGGAGAAATCGGTGGGCTTGATGGCGGAATGACAGTTTACGGAGGAGAAAATGTTGAACTTGGGATTCGTGTGAGTAGCCCAAATTGTTTTTAGTAATAAGAATTAAACATGGCAACAAATTTAAATCATTTAAGTTTGAAGATTTGGTAAATTCACTGACTGTCTGATCTGTGTCTGCACTGCTCAGGTGTGGCTGTGTGGAGGCAGCGTAGAGGTTGTGCCTTGCTCGAGGGTAGCTCACATTGAGAGGACACATAAACCGTATGCACGTGATCTCAACCCTTCCATGAGGAGAAATGCACTGAGGGTCGCAGATATCTGGTTGGATGAGTACAAGCGGAACGTGCTCATTGCCTGGAACCTTCCTTTTAAGGTCGGCACAGCGATTATGTTTGTAGAGATTATTATCTGTAAGGTATAGTATCACTCATTATGTTTAAAACTCCTTATATTTTGACTACATTTCACCGAGAGATGACAAAATACACAAAAGAAGGTAGCTCACTGCTGCAGAGGTAAAACGTGTTTTTTCACAGAAGACATTTCCATTTAGTACTTCACTTTCAGGGTCCTGGTATTCTGCATGCTGGCTCACTCTCGTGGATGACTGGGACACTTATATTGAACAGATTCATGAGATTTAATTGTTTTGAAGAATATAGATTTTTACCGAAATTTAGCGTTGTTCATGTACCTTTTGATATTGCTTATGATACACAGAATCATGGAATCGATACCGGCGACGTGTCCGAGAGGAGGAAGCTCAGAGAAAAGCTGAAATGTAAACCTTTCAAGTGGTACCTGGACAATGTCTATCCAAGTCTGGACACATGGGATAACCTCTTGGGGTATGGCGTGGTAAGAGACATTTTCAGTCACTCCTTTGTCTTAGTTTAGTGCGAGTACTATATCAGTAAGCCTGAAATACTTAGACTAATATGTAGCCATGCTGAATGTTGTGATTGGGCATTACATTTTACACAGAGGTCAAAGCAAATAAATAACTCCCTTAACATGACACTGATCTGTACAGCTGCAGAACACCCTTCTTAGGAGCCACTGTGTGGACCAGGGAGTTGTTCCAGGAAACATCCCCATCCTGTATGGATGCCACTCCCAGCAGACACAGGTTATCTAAGAAGACAGATGGGAAAAACTGGTACTGAGATGTTAATAACAAATCCTAATATTAAATCACTACCCATTCTTTCCGCCAGCATTGCTACTATAACGCAGACGGTGAAATCATCATTGGGGGGATTAAATCTCACAAATATAACAGTAACCGCTGCCTGGTTGATCCAGGCTCTGGCAGCACTCCCACCCTGCAGGACTGTCAGCTGGCTAGACTAAAGCAACTACACATGCACTGGGACTTCAAACAAGTAAGAACTCAGCTGATACCAGTACTTTTTGAACAATCCAGCACAGCCTTATCAGATAATACCAGTAGGAGGTGTCAAAGCCTTCAATGTCCAAACCTAAACTAAGGTGCTTGAAAATATCAATGTGTTAGATGCATTTATGCTACCATCTCATAAATGATCTCTCTTGATCAAACTTTTGCAGGGCCAATCAATCCGAAACAACTCAACACAGAGATGTCTTGAGATCGCCCAGGGAGAAAGCTCTTATTATGAGGTCATCATTCAACAGTGCAGTGGACAGAGCTGGACGATTGAGCATCTCATCACAGGTTTTTAGTTTCTTCAACTGAATTTGCTATTAACAAAGGATAATGACAAACGGGGTCTTATTTACATTTTTAAATGACTATTAGACATTTTAAAAAAAAAATTTCAAATTTTTTCTGACATGACTTAAAAAGGGCCACGGTTGCTAGCATTTGAAAATGAGCAACCGAACTTAATATTATGTGCAATTATCCAAAAACCTTCTTTAAGAACCTCAATGCCACATCCACCATTTGGGGTGTCAATGAATTCTTCAGCAACTTAACTCAGTTATATGACGCACACATTTCTGTTTGACAGACTATTAAAGCAAGAAAAACTGTTTCGTTGCACTACCTATCTACCATCTCTGTGCTTTTTGGGCTATCCAAGCCCCCGTACCGTAACACCTTGAATAGACAAGCACTACATTTCACGCGTCGGCTGGCTTGACTGACGTTTCGCAGATGACGGCTCACTTGACTGAGTTTGTTTACCCTGTCTCTGTGTTTCTGCGTGTCAAACAACACTGATTATCTCATCTCAATCACCTCTGTATGTCAGCACTAATAACAAGTTTCTGTGGTGATGGTAAATTCTATGTGACTCCTCTGTTAGACAGCTGCATTGCACGGAATCTAAGCTGACGCTCACCTGTATACACCTGCTTCCCAGACAATAAACGTAACCCCTATCACTGAGGGAGTTAGGACCCCCTTATGAACACGTGTGTAATTTGTATGTAGTATCAAACATGTGAGCAGGTTTGAAAACAGGTACTGACTGCTGTCACCCAGAATTGTGTGGTCAAATTTAATCTGAGTGCCTATGGGATAGTGTCTTCGAGTTCCTGTCACTTTACGACCGTTGTGGCCAAATGTGATGGTCTGTTTGATTCCATAGTTAGGCTATATATGTTTGCAACCAGAATAACATTAAACGCAAACTGTAATAATGCAAAAACTGTTAAAGATATCAAAAAGCTGACTAATATTGTAATAGTTCAAAGTCTTGTAACCCGATTAAAGTTCAAATGTAGTCTAGCTGAAAGTATTCAGAAGTATTTTAAAGTGGCGTAGGTTTGAGATGAGAGAAGATTGTATTCATCGAGTTACATTGTTTTTAAAAAAAATGGAAAAAGCTTAATATTTTATATAAATGGACAAAGGGAAAACAAAGGGAAAAAAGACATTGCGCTAACGTCCTTAAAAAGGGTGGGACAAAAGGTAAACCTTTATGTCCATTTATAAACAGCTTGCTGGGAACCTTGTCTTCGTGTTTTGTGGTCTTCCACTCCCTAATTTAAAGTCGCATCTCTAATAGAAGTTTGTTGAACGAAATGTGGACTCCCTGTAATTGTGTTAATGCAGCAGAAGTTTTTTTGGAATCTGCATACAGCTACAGAAACCATTCAGATATCAAATTATTCAGCTCTTTAATACATGACCGCATGTTACATTATGGAGGTTTCAATTTGAGGAAGCAGGTGACTTCACAACGTAAGCCCTAGGAACACCTGCCCCTCCTGCAAACAAACAGCGGAGGGAGGACGGTTCTCACCCCGCGCCTTTAAAAAGAAAGAAGGTATCTCTGTCGGACGTTTTTTATTCTCTTGCTGGGAGATCAGTCGGTGTGTGTTCAGCATGAGGGCATCAGGGTTAAAGCGGGTAGTCCTCACTTTGGGGGGGATCTTGCTCGTCTTCTTCGTGGGCATGTTTCTAAACGGGGGATATGAGCCTACTGACAAAGAGCTGGACTCACCTCGTATTGTCAGATTTTTTTCAAACATGGAGACAAACATCAGCAATATCTGTGAGTTGAAGCAATGCTTTATCTTTCTTCCAGTATACATGTTACTTTTATTTCGTCTTTATCGTGATGAATGTCAACTTTTCACTTCAAATGAAGATGGTGAAATGGAAAGGAAATTTGGTTCAGTGTGATTTGATCAGAGACATTGTTAGAAAGGTAAGTGGAAGGATTCAAATGTCAGTTCACTTTATACAACGAAAGGTATTTTATGCTTAGCCTTTTGCATATAGTATGCATGTTAGCAGACAGAAGTATAACACATTTCATTTTTTTCCCGCCAGCAAAAATAAATTAAATTTTTTTTTTTTTTCGGGGGGTGGATTTAATTTTTTAAATTTTTTTAGTTACCTTTTTCTTTTCTTTTTGGCTTGCGGAAATGGGCTTCCATATATGTTAAATTGCCTCTATGTGACTTTTCTTTTCTTGCAGTTTGCTGTCTATTAATGAGGTCAAATTTATGTGCACAATTTATGAGTTAATAAATGGAACACTCCATTCTCTCCATTCTCTTGTCTATGTTATATTGATTGTGTTTTATGTATTTTTCCTGAGGTCTTTATTTAGTCTCTTTTGTGTGCTGATGTATTCTAATCCCAATATAAGCAGATATAATACACAGACAGAACTAATGGCTCCTACACTAATTCTTAACTCCCATCTGGATGTCAATAAAACGTTATTTTTGTGTAGAATCAATCAAGAGAACACGAAAAACTATAGTCTACTATTTTCTACAAAAGGTGGTCATGCCTCTAGCTGATTTTGCTGTGTCCTGTCATCCTTTTGTCAAGTGAATGCACTCCAAGCTTTTGAGGAAAAGCAGAAAAGCATGCACAAAATGCTTGAAGAGGACAGAGGCAGAAAAGCTGCAGAGGTCGAACAGCCATCAGTCAAAAAGCAGCCACAGCAACCTGAAGCAAAGATGCAAGACCAACAGAAGGCCCCCAAAGAGAAAAAGTCCAATAAACTGTTCCCAGACTCTGTCCTGTTCCAGACGTGGGGGGAAAATCTGTCTGAGGACGACCAAAGAGAGGCGCAGCTTTTGTATGAGAAGTACGGATACAACGTTTTCCTCAGTGATCGCCTTCCTCTAGATCGAGCTCTCCCAGACACCAGGGATAAAAGGTAGGCTACAACTTATCATTGTCATTTCCTATGATGCCAAACCTGCCATTCCACTTCGTACACAAACGTTCTAGATGTATCATATTTTGCTGACTATCCTTCACCTTCCAGTTGACATGGTTTGTCTTTAGACACAGCTCACTAATGAAAAGGTGGTGTGAGACATGCTTCTGCTTGTGAATAGGTGTCTTACAAAGAGTTACCCAAAGGACCTGCCAAGCCTTGGAGTGGTGTTGATCTACCTGAATGAGGCCCTGTCAGTCATCAAAAGAGCTCTGTGCAGTATCATCGACCGCACCTCTAAAAACCTGCTGAAGGAAATAATATTGGTGGATGACAACAGCTCCAATGGTTGGTTGGCTACAAATGATTCAGATTGTGCAAACACGTTTGTTAAAGAAAATATCATCTAAAGTATCGGCTACAATAATCACTTCGAAGGAAGGTTGCGCTGATAAAACATGTTTCATTGTGCAGAGGCAACTGCTGCTCATATTGCCATATAGCCATGAAGTTTTTAATCAAATATTTCTGTGGTGCATACACACCACTAATCTGTGGTGTGTATGCAAGGTGTTACTTTGTGGTTGTAATTTACTTTTTTCAGCAGTCTTGTAAATCCCACAGAATGCGGTTTGTCAAATTAATTTTCAGCTTTAAAGCAGTATAGTTTTTTTTTCACTTTGGGATATTCGCTTATTTGCTCTCTTGCCAAGATTTTGATGAGAAGATTGATAGCACTGTTGCATCTGTATGGTAGAATATGAAACTACATTCAGCATGAAGACAAAGCTTAAAAAATATCTGCCCTCTAGCATGTCTAAAGTTCATCAATTAAAGCTGGAGTGCAGAACTTTTGTGTCCCCTCTCCGGCATTAACAGTAATTACCATAGTAAAGACCATAGCAACGGAACAAAAGCTATCTGCAGTGGATGCTTAAAATGAATGGCATTTACAGGAAGGATTAAAGTAAAAATAGAATTAGAGAGAGAGAGAGCGCTCCTGTTGGCTTAATCATCGTTGTGTGAATTAGTTTGACAAGGGCCTGAATGTAATGGACGTTCATCCATCCATCCATCCATTTTCCACCGCTTATCCGGGGTCGGGTCGCGGTGGCAGCAGGTCAAGCAGGCCGACCCAGACCTCCCTCTCACCGGCAACATGTTCCAGCTCATTCTGGGGGATCCCGAGGTGTTCCCAGGCCAGCTGGGAGATGTAATGGACGTTCAGTTACATGCAAATGTCCAGCACTTCAGCTTCAACATGTTATACCTTTTTTGTTCAAGCAGTACAAAAACAAATTGTTGTTCATGTGCTGGATACGGTAACAACAATAATTCGGGATGTTAATTGTTAAAGCTCCAGCACATAAGCCCCGGTAAAACCACAAATTAATAAATGCGTGCGATAACCACACTGTAATGAATTGCTGTAAATTTACGGTGGATTTAAAACGGTATCTTACAGTATTTCATAATAACTGTAACATACAGTTAAATGTTCATCCCTCGCATGTAAATTAACAGTCAATCCCGTCAATTAACAATAACAGCAGACTACTGTAATTTATCAGCATAATACAGTATTTTCTGTGAAGTGGTGGATATACGCTGCTCTATACAAGTTCAGTGAATCACGATCCATCTACATCGTACTGTCTATTGTAGGTTAATGTGTCTGTAATGACGATAGAATATTTTTTATTATTTAAACTGTTCATTGCCTAAAAGTCATTTTTGAGTGACAAGATGACCGACTGCTCCTGAACGTGACTTTGGACACAACAGCTTCAGTTCATCATTCTGAGCAACAGCCATGTGGAGATCAACCGAGGAACCGAGGTAACATTAAGCTTATCATCCGATCAAAGTCTCCAGTATTGTTTTGTCTTCATGAATATTGAACTGCTAACATCTCAGATAATGTTTCACTTGGTCTGTTTCGTTACATCAGGTTGCTTATACATTAGTGGAGCTAGCTCTGTAACTTTAGCTAGCTCGAGCTCAACTAGCCTAAAGTTATTCACCAGTTACAGTGTTAAGATGTAACGTTAGTAACCTAACTTGTGTTTACTTGTGCTATTATTGAACCGACTGAAGGGCCGCAAACAGGACGATTATCAAAATGGAGAGATTGCTGAGGTGTGTTCAAGACGATAAACAATTGAGTTAACACCAACAGTAACGTTACGTGGGTGTTATTCCAGGACCAACATTAGAACCAGATCAAATTAATTTTAGTGTTGAATGTTAGTCCATTGTGGTCCATTGTCTTAGCTTAATTTCTTCACCTAACGCAATCAGCTCATCACATAGACATGTCTGTTGATTTGACCTGTATGGTATTGTTGTATTAGCTTGGCACTGATATGTTCACATATGTGAGGCACATGCAAACCTGCAGTTGCACACCCAAAGCTTATTTTAAGTGAGTTTATCTTGGATGTCATAGACCTTTCCAGAAGTTCAGAACATTGCATTTCTAAAGTTTTTATTTTGTTTGTTTTACAGTCACTCATCAGAGATTGAGGATACCAGCCAGACACTGCAGTCAAGTCCTCTTTCAAGGTGTTCTCTCTCTTTATTGTTTTCATTCATGTGTGAGTTCATGCAGTTCAAATTAACTATAAATGTGTATAAGATTTGTTAACAAGCTAGACTGTGATGCAGTTCTATTACACTGTTCTTGCTACTATTTTAATTTAGCGTTTCACTCTCAATGCTATTTTAACTCAGTGTCTGAGGGGAGTGACACCAAGATCAAAAAGTGGTATGTACCCATCCCTGGAGTGATATGCTACTGTTGTTCAGCATTATGTACCTATCCATTACATTACAGTCATTTAGCAGATGCTTTTATCCAAAGTGACTTACAATGAGTGTATTCAACATCGGTATTCAAGAGAACTACTAGTCACCAGAAGTCATAAGTGCATATCCTTTTTTTAAACATCTCAGAGCATAAACCAGAGCAAAAGTACAGTGTAGAAACAAACCAATAAGTGTAACAAACTAATACAAATACAATAAGTGCTAAGTGGAAGGCTCAGGGTAGTACCTCTTGAGGTGAGTTTTCAGCCTGTGCCGAAAGATGGGCAGCGACTCTGCTGTGGATCCCTGGAGTGGCATGCCGCTGTTGTTCAGCGGCAAGGCAAGGCAAATGTATTTGTATAGCACATCTCAACAACAAGGTAATTCAAAGTGCTTCACATAAAACCATTAAAAGCATCAAAACATAAGGCAAAAGAAAAGGAGATTTAAAAACAATTAAGAACATACATTGAAACAATAAAAAGTCATTAAAACTGTAACAGGAATGCACGGAGGACAGAAATTAGTGGCAGCGCAGCAATCACAGGCAGAGTCAGTATTGCAGGTTTTTAATCCACCAAACCTCAACCAACACAAAACAGAAAACGTAGCTCCTTCCAGAGCTCGATCAGTTAACTCTATAACATAACCAAACCAGCCCCAGCCCCAGCCGCTCTCCTGGCCTTTTGTTCACCTCCCTGATGAGGAGATCCGGATCAGGTGTGTCTCATCCCACACCTGATCTCAATGCTCTCATCAAGGAGAGGGTGGAGCCTTCTGGCAGGAATGTAGCAGCCAGCTACTACCCTGCCCCTCAGGCCTTTACAAAACATAAACAAACAAAAAAAAGAAGAAAAAGTGTAAGGAATAAAATACCATAGTAAAATGCAGAAATGCAGGAAATTGATTAATATATTAATTGAATGTGGTTCAATTAAAGGCAGCAGCAAACAGAAAAGTCTTCAATCTTGATTTAAAGGAGCTGATGGTCTCAGCAGACCTGCAGCTTTCTGGGACTTTGTTCCAGATATGTGGAGCAGAACAACTGAACGCTGCTTCTCCATGTTTAGTTCTGACTCTGGGAACAGAAAGTAGACCGGTCCCAGACGACCTAAGGGGTCGGGATGGTTCATAAGGTAGCAGCAGATCAGAGATGTATTTTGGCCCCAAACCATTCAGTGCTTTATAAACCAACAGCAGGATTTTAAAGTCAATTCTTTGTTGGACAGGAAGCCAGAGCAAAGACCTCAGAACTGGAGTGATGTGATCCACCCTCCTGGTCTTAGTGAGTACTCGAGCTGCAGCTTTCTGACAGACTTTTTACAGAGACCTGTAAACACACCGTTACAGTAGTCCAGTCTACTGAAGATGAATGCATGGACAAGTTTTTCCAAATCCTGTTGAGACATAAGTCCTCTAATCCTTGATATATTCTTCAGGTGATAGTAGGCTGATTTTGTAATTGTCTTGATATGTAATTATATATGTAATATATAATATAATATAATATATGTAATATGTAATTAGCTACAGACACAAAGTATTCTCTGTCCTTCAAGTATGATTCAAACCAGTTAAGTGCTGTGCCATAGTCTTTCTAGGAGTTTGGCATGGTCGACCGTGTCGAATGCAGCACTGAGAACCAGTAATACTAAGACTGAACTTCTGCCATTGTCTGTGTTTAAGTGGATGTCGTTGAAAACCTTAACAACAGCAGTTTCAACTGTGGTGCTGTCGAAAGCCTGACTGGAAGACATCAAAGCAGTTATTTACGGCCAAGAAGTTATTCAGCTGTTGGAAAACTGCTTTTTCAATTATTTTACTTAAAAATGGGAGGTTTGATATTGGCCTATAATTTTTCATTGTTTCATTGTTGTAAACTAGCCTTCTTTAGGAGTGGTTTAATAACTGCAGTTTTTAGGGCTTGTGGGAAGACACCTGAGAGAAGGGATGTGTTTACTATTTGTAAAAGATCAGTGGTTATACAGTTTGAAATATTTTTGAAAAAGTGTGTTGGTAGAATATCCAAGCAGCAGGAGGATGACTTCAGATGTTGTATAATGTCTTCTAGGCTTCTACGGTCGATTAGGTATCCAGGTACCCATCCCTGGAGTGGTATGCCGCTGTTGTTCAGCAGTATGTACCTATCC